AACTGGAGAGGCATGAGGTGGAAGAGTGCTTTGCACCCAGGCCATCCGCAGGGCGATATTAGGATGAAGCAAATCAAATAGAACTGGCAGGGTTTTCTGTCAGCCTTTTCAGGAAGGGCAGTTTGCAAGCCTCCCGCCTCTAAAATGTTAAGGGCAGAGAAGGAAAGGGGAGGGAGCAGGCAACCTTGAAAAGAACCAACTGCAAGAAGTGTTCCTCCAACAAGGAAACTTTGCAGGAGCCCACGTGGGGGAGACCTAGGGACCTGCCTCCTGATGGGAAAGTCACCGTGGGGACCTTTGTGGTGAAAGCATCCAATCCCATCAACCAAAGACTGAAACATGCTGTCACTCTTACCTTCTACCAAATGGTGTCCTTGCACCAATTTCCTAGCTGCAAAAGAAAATTCCTAATGTGTACCTATCTAACAATCTAAAATGAGGGGCTGCACTGATCTGATCTAGAACTGTTGAGAAGACTTTTTGGAGACAGTGGTGCTTGCAAGCTTTTGCATTAACACAAGGAAGTGGAATTTCTATTCAAAGAAAGATGCCACTCTGCTAGGGATTCAACCAAAATGTGAATGGTAAGAAGATGGAAAATGAAAGTTGGAAACAGCTGCTCTCATACCCCACTTCTTTCAGCCCATCTTAATCTGCTATAGTTTAGGTATCCTGAGCAAAGTCAATGAATCTCACTTTTGCCCACCTCCAAGCTATTTGTCCTCCTGTGGCCTCTCTCTTTATTCTCCCTTGGAACCTGTGCCCCTCAGCCAACCTGCAGCCCTGCAGGCCTCTGGAGCATGACAACAGAGATGATTGTACAATTGGTTAAAAGCTCCTAATAAAACCAACCCTTGAAATTGGATCCTTTGCAATTAACTGTATTTTTATCTGCACTCTTCTTATAGCAGACAAAGGCAGATGGCAAGAAAACAAGTCAATGTAAGTGATGTCAAAAAAAAAAAAATAGGAGAAGGAAGGAAGAAAGGAAGGAAGGAAAGAAGAAAGGGAGGGAGGAAGGGAGGAAGGATGGGCTAAATCTTCAGAGGAGGAGCATGGCAAGAAGTGTTGACAGCCCCAGACTAGCATAATTAGGAAGTAGAGGGTTGGGCCCTGAGGCTGCTAATAGGTCTTGAGCATAGATGAACAATGGGTTTGTGCCCATTAAGTTGTATCTACTGAGATGGGGAAGTCTCAGCTAGTTTAGAGTGATTCTAAACGGGAAGGATTGTCTGCCCTGCATTCTTAGTTAACCAGAATCCTTCCCCCCTCCTTTTCTAAAATGTCTACTCTGTTTTTTCCCAATATTTTGTACCAGTGTTAGGAAAACAAAACGAAACTAAACCCCTCCAAGAATGGCCTTTGTGGGTTCATGACAGAGGGTTAGTAGATGAGCAGCGCTCTCCTAAAACTAGTAGAAATATTCTCTTCCTCCCCCGATCTTTCTACCTCACTCGTTCTCTAGGCTTGGCACTGCTGGAGGAAGCGGCCGATGCCTTCTCTGATGTGACAGATAGTAATGATATTTCTTAGTTCTGTGTTCTGACAGAACTGAGAAACCTTGGCGCTGGAGACAGACAGGGAGGGAAATAAATCTTACTTAGGTGCTGCCAACACTATGAATTTTATTAAAGGACATTGACTCGTTCTACACGGAAAGCCTTCCACTGGTGGCTGAGACAGTCATTGGGTAAAAAAGGCTTTGATCGCAGTTTTTAGTGGAGCAAAACTTTGCTGCCAGACTCTGCAGGTTTAATTAGCCCATTATCTTGGATGGCTGTGAGTTGTTTTCTTCTTTTCTTGGTATAACATCAGGCTGGACAATTAACTTCTTAGGGAGAAAAGGTTTGAAACAGTAGGTGAAGTGTATAGAGCAGCTCTGTCTAGGGGTGAATATTCAAGACCCTGCCTGCAAGTCTTTGCAAGTTTCAAATGTACTGATATTTATAGTTTTGTTTGTTGGTTTTAGGTACAGACCTCTAGCTATGGATCCATGGAAGTAAAACATATTCCTCTGCTAAATTACCTTTGTCTGTCCTTTGGGAAACCTGAGTGTTTTACTAGGCAGATCCATTGCTAGGTAATTTGCATGATGTAAAGTCAATAGTTTTTTTTTCTACCTGCATCATCTGCTATGTGCTAGGCGCTCTATAGACACAGAAGGATGGGATTCCAGACGCCTAAAAACTTTGTGATCTCATCAAAGAGGCAGTGAGTGATCTCAGCTATTTTAGAGTGATTTTAGACAGGAAGGAATTTCTGCCTTGCGTTAATAAGAGGCTCTCATGAAAGGCCACTGAGAAAGTTAAATATAAATACGTGGGCTGCAGTTTGATAGCATTCCTTGTGCCGTAATTCTTTGGAAATGAGGCCACTGGGAAATCGCGGTGTGTAGGAGAGGGTTCATAGAAAAGATGTCCTCTGATCTGGACTGAAAAAGAAGACTGGCATTGAGGTAGGCAAGTCTTGAAGCCACCTCTGCCAGAGTGGGTAGCACCAGTGAAGGCATGGCAGGGGGCATGTGCCCATGTGTGAATGGAAAGGTGAGAAAGTGAGTCCACTGACACTAAAGGGTACCTTTTGCGATAGGAAACTATAAAAGATGTCACTGAGCTAGTAAGAGAGGCTTGGTTTATTGGATTGTGTGGTGTACCCACTGCTTGAGGGGCCTCTGGACGCTCACAAATAACAAAGCATCCCCTCGAAGAGGATGAAAACAAATATCATGGGACATGCCTGACTGGTCCACGGGTTCTGAATCCAAGCCTAGGGGGATCAATTAAAAAAGACATAGAAGAAAAACAATATATACACACAGATGCTGGAACCCAACAGTTCCTCACAGAGATGAATTCTGTGTAAAGGCAGAGATGGCAATCCCTTGGTGTAGCCTTAGGAGAGCTCAGAGTTTATATATGATTTTCAGAATATATGTGGCGAGTCTAGCCTTCACAGAGAATTATTATTATTTCAAACCACCCTGATTCTCTTACATTTGCATAAATCTTTGTATATAAATATAGGTATTAACATACATTTATAAATAGATATAGACACACACAGTGGTGTGATCTCTGTTTCCTTTAAACTTGTAGAAAGCAGTGCAGCTCTGGGTTTCAATTAAAAAAGATGGTGCAAGGGGAGAGGAAGTATCAGACACTCCGGATCAAGTGCTTGCTGTTGTAATCCAAGTCTGAATATTAAAATGCAAGTGTTCAGGACATGCTGGGAAACAAGAAGCAGGACGTGCACCTTCTGGCTGCTTGGGTTCTGAATCAAGAGGGAGGATGTTGTCTTATCTTCTGTCGTCTCTAGGAGGGGAGCTGTCTCCCCATTTCTCCTTGGTGCTCTTAAAATGAATCAAGCATGAAATGTACCCAGGAAACCTTTCTCCCTCAGGCATGATGGGGCAGAGAAAAATAATAAGACTTGAAAGAAGAAGCCGCAGATTCTTCTTGGCCGGATGCCCAAATACTCTGTAGTTGGGGCCAAGTGAGCTGCTCACTTTGGTAGCCAAATATTTCAGGATGTGTTTTGATCCAGTGGATACAATGTCGTAGTAGCAAGCTCTTCCAAGGGTCAGTAAGTACCCACTTGAGCTGACTTATTTCTTGGACATGGCTGGTACATCTGCAGCCTTGGTGAGTCACTTGGTGACTCATTTGACCCTTCACTGAGCGCTGGGGATGGAGAGGGAGGAAAGTCATAGTACTCAGTGCAGAGTGACTCACCATCCATTCACTGTGGGATTTGGCAAATGCAGTGGCGGACGACTGCGATGTGAGTGGGTTACAGACCAGGCACATAGGAAGGAGATGTTCCAAATGATACTTTTCGAATCAGCAGCCAAACGTCCATGGGAACCAGAATACCTAGAGTAATAGGAATCTCTGGGCTGCCATCAGAGGACACTTCTAGAGGCAGAAAAGGTTCCATGGTGCTCTAAAAATTACTGGAGAAGAGCAGGGGTACGGAGCAAGCCAGCAATGAAGAACGAGATGTAGGAGAAGAAAGACCTTTGGAGGGGAAGGAGTATTTGGAGGGTTAGACCCTGTCTCTTGAGAAGTGTTTCCTTGCAGTTGCCCTTGGAAAGCACTGAAGCAGTGTAGCTACTGGACTTGAAATCTTCAATAACCATCAGTAACATGGCCATAATACTGGGAGTGATGGTGTGCGGATTAAATGAGGGAATGCAGGAGAAGCACTTGGATCATAGTAAGACCTTAGTCCATGTGAGCTGCTGTTAGAGCCTGCTTCCTTTTTAAAAAACCAACACTGGCTCCTCTTCCCTGCAGGATCTATTCTGGTCTCCCTAACTTGGCCTTCAAAGCCTTTTTCAAGTTGCCCTCAACATTTTCATCTAAATTTATTTAGATAAGCCAGGCTTATTCATATACCGTCCCTGCATTTCTCACCTTTGACCCACGTTGTTCCCTTTGTGAGTAATGCCCGTCCTATTTTTGTCAGTTTGAATTCTGCCATTCATTCAGATCCCAGTTGACTCCCCACATATCTCGGAAGCATCCCTCATTGACTTCTGAGTCTCCTTCCTTTGCATTCCTTTATCACTGGTGGCATGCTCATTATTTCAGTCAGGTTTTGGCTATACTGTTGGCTTTCTGAGAGCCAGGTCTAGATTTTGGACTTCTTTGTATTCCAGACAACAGTCTGCCTATGCTGGGGCCAGCGGTACAGCTCACCAGGCAAAACGGGGTATGAATCCCAGTTCACTCTAATATTTAGTGGCATGTGATTTCCAACAAATCACTTAATCTTTGTGAGCTTCAGTTTGCTCAACTGTAAAATGGGCATATTAATGTCTGCCTTGCAGAATGTACGTGGGGAGTAGAACTGATATGCAGGGCACTCATCTGGCATAGAATGGGTGCTAAATAAATGGTAGATATTATTATTGTTAATAATAATAATCCAGTGAACTGATGTTTGTGCATTCAGTGTACCGTAAAGTCGTGGTGTTGAATACTTTCTGTTGTCCACAGTTATACAGTTCTGCTGAATTTGGGAGAAGGTGGCAGCTTATCCAGGAAGGGGTCATACCGAACAGGTTCTACTGGTAAGTCTCACTCTATTTTCTAGCACATTTAGGATATCACCTGTGAAAATGAGCATTGCAATCTTTTCCTCACCCAGAACTCTCAGGTGAATTCTGTTCTTATTGGGTTACGCACACATCCCCTAGGGCAGAAGGTGACATTGGGGTGGTAAACATCTTAAGGGAATGTTAAAGCAGTGTCATAAATCACTTCACAAACCCAACATAGATAACTGAGATTAATGGACAACAGGGGGTTTGTAACTGTTGTTTTGTTATATTTTGATGAGACTTTGAGACAGACACTTAAGAACATTTTAATAGTGACTTTTATTATTAAAAGCATGATATACACATATACGGCATGTTCATATAAAGGTTTTCAGTGTAAATAAGTAGATCTTATTTAGTCTAAAAGCAGATCCTCTTCCCATTCCTGCTTTCAAGTCTTCTAGACATTCTCATCATCATATGGGACGCAACCATTGTTTTTACTTCTTCTTCCATAAATGTTCTCTGAATTACTAAATACGTGTAAATATAAATATTAGTAATTGTTTTTTCTTAGTCAGCTTTGACTGCTATAACAAAATACCATAGACTGGGTGGCTTGAACAACACAGAAAAGAAGGAGGGAAAGAAAGTAATATTCTCTTTTTTTTTACCTTCTGAGCCCATCCCCCTGGTTAAATTACAGGTGGCCTCCCTCCCTGGGTTACTACAATTGAAAAGAAGGGATAATACAAGTTCCTTTTAGCTTCAGAGTTTCCAAGGGCCTGGATCCCAGCAAAATAAGAACAAAGTACAAAGTATTCTAGTGTAATGTTGACATTACTTATCAATCCCTTTTGAATTTACAACCTAAACCCTATGAAAGACGTGATTCTGCCTTATCCTAATTTATCTAATCTGCCTATGGAAAAGGCATCTAGGTTGTTTCCAGACTTCTGCTAGTATAAACAGTGCCCTGCAGAACTAGCTCAGACAAGAGTTTAAATATCCCTTGTTCACATCATTGAGAATCATTGGCGCAATGACCTTTTAGGAGCCAATGAGCTTCCTGCCGCTAGGACAGTAAAAGTTGTCTCCCCTTTACTCCTCCTGAAATCACACTGCCTCTCACCATGCCTTGGGACTTCCACGTACCTAATAGCTTCCCCCACCACTCCAATTCTCTCACTTCTAAGAGTAATGCATTTTTATCTTTCTTATTTTCAAACACTGCCCTAAGACCCTGTGGGATTTGAAAGCCAGAGAACAGATAAATCTCTTAAAACACTAGTGAAACTGCCTGAAAAAGTAAAAGACAAGTCATTTGCAAACAAACTGGCTCAACACACAGAGACTTCTATATGGAAAGATACTTTCTCTTCCCGCATCACAGAGACATTGATAACTAAATAGGGTTTCTGTTGCTCAGAACTTATTCACCTCTTCCCTGCTGCTCCCACTCAGGAATGGCTGAAGCTTTGTTTTTGGCATCTAAGTTGGATGCCCTTCTCCAGGAATTCAGTTGTAACTGTCACTGCGTCTCCCTTCTCTGATCAGCATTTCTTCTCCTCCTCACTTACTCATTCTGTCCCTTATTCATGAGATACCTTGCATCTCCATGTGTTTTGCCTGTAAATTATAAAGTCACTTTTTGGAAAGCAGGTCCATATTTTTTTTCTCTTTTACTGGGTGTTATATGTTCATAGAAAGGCCTCAGAGAATAAATAAATAAAAGACCAAACTAAATTCATGTGGTTCCCCTGGTTTAACCTGGAAATGAAGTTGATGCTTTGCCAGTGAGAAGGTATGAGGGACCAATCATTCCTTAAGTCCTGCTTTCAAGTGACTGAATATATCTGCATGTGGACCCAGCAATTGAAGGCAGAAAGTTGCAGTTCTCAAATGACTGGAGAGAAGTTTGTTCCAACCAATAGAAACAAAGAAAAACATTGACCAAAAAAACCAAAAAAAAAAAAACCGGATGAGAGAATTTCCCATGTTAAGCGGTACATGGTACACAGTATCTTCTAGCTCACTGAAGGGCTTATTTACACACAGCTTTGGGAGGTGAACAAATCCATCATTGCTTTGGCTGGTAGTAATTGAACCCATTCTTATCCGTTCTTGGAATGGGGTCCTTCTACCTGTAAGCCTGATTAGCAAAGCCCTTGTAACCAAATGTTATATCATTATCTTTATAAGAACTATACACATGATCATATATAAATTCTAATTAATCTGTCTGTTGAGTGAAATGAATGATACCCCTTCTCTGCCTCTGGGAATGGAGTCTCTCCATTCAAGTTCTGATATTGTGATAGGCGTTATTCAAACTTAAGCAATTTAATCCTCAGAACGAGTCTATGAAGTAAGCGTTGCATTATCATCCCTAACAGATCGGGAACTTTTGGCATGGAGAGGTCAAGTAATTTAGCCAAGGTCACACAGCCAGAAAGCGGCAGAGCCAGGATTCAAATGCAGGCAGAATGGCTTCAAAGCCCATGAGCTACTAAATTAGTGGACTCTACTGCCTAGGCCTCTTGGAATGTTTTTTCTGGGCTGCAGCTGTGAGCCCTAGAAATCTAGCCCATTCAGGCAGATGAGCAGAGAAAATCCAAAGCTCTTTTGGCCGCCATGCCTGTGTGTGTCTCTCTCCAGCTGGGCTTGGCAAATGGCCTCCTTGGGTTCTTTAAGCTAGGTTGTTTTTTCCAGAGAAAGCATGAGACCTTGTAAATTGCACAGTGCACATTGACTGTTGATGAAATCTCTTGGTCTCTGGCCACATGGTCTGTATTTTCTGACTCTGAGCAACTTCCTAAGGCTGGCAGAAAAGGTGTCCTTCAAAGCAGTATTTATTAGACTCCTGGAAATCGGTTGCTTCAAATTACATAAGAACTATAGGGCTATCTAGGATTATTCAGTGAGCTTAATTGAAAGAAGCTCTCATTAATCATTTCTGCTTGAAGCCTGGCTGTGGGAGTGTGGAGGTGACTAAGGGGAAATTTTCTAGTGCTAAATTGAATTGACGAGTGACCCTGGGTAATAATATAGCATTTCCCATGGAGAAAAATGAAGGTGAATTCATATCTTTTCCTCATCACCTAGTACACTTAAGAAATATCTTTATTTTGGGTGGCAGTAGTAATGCCACCCCTGGAAGTAATCAATGGCAATTGTGAAACAGTTATGGAGTTTAACAGTTTATCCTTATATTCACGGTGGTTGTTGGTAGTACTATCATACTGACATACATATGAACTTTCTTCCAAGGAGTTTAAATTGCTTCCAAAACTGATTTACATGTTTAGGGCATCTTATAAAACATATTTGAGCACAATATTGCCCTTAATAGAATAGATGTCTTTTTATTCAACTAACTGCTATAGCAGTCTTGTTCTTTACTATGTCAGAAGTCAATTATACTGGGAGGCAGTACAGCCTGGAGGTTAAGGGGCTCAGAGATACTGAGATGTGAGTTCTAGCTTTGCCATTTACTAAGTAAGGGGGTCATGGGGAAGTTAAGTTCTGTGTGCCTCAGTTTTTTTCCCCTGTAAAGTGAAGATAATTAATACCTACTTAATCAAATGAGATGTTTCTTGTGAATTGGTTATATGCCTGGCATCTAAGAGTTGTATTAAGTTCCCACTGGCTAATAGTAGTATTATTAATAGTAGCTGACTTTTTTTTTTTTGTGGTACGCGGGCCTCTCACTGTTGTGGCCTCTCCCGTTGCGGAGCACAGGCTCCGGACGCGCAGGCTCAGCGGCCATGGCTCACGGGCCCAGCCGCTCCGCGGCACATGGGATCTTCCCGGACCGGGGCACGAACCCGTGTCCCCTGCATCGGCAGGCGGACTCTCAACCACTGCGCCACCAGGGAAGCCCAGTAGCTGACTTTTTACGTCTCTTAGTTTTGTTTCTCCCCCATGCTGGCTTCATCCTCAGGTCACTTTCCCCATTCATACATAGCAATGATGGACATCATCAGCTTTGGTCTTACAACCTAACAGTTTGGAAGCTCCATCAAACCAGTCTGCCTCTTGCCTCATGTTTCCAGGGATTGAATCCCAGTAGTCTGCATTACTCTTGTAGGTCAGACACATAACTGAAATAAGAGATGGTGTTGAGTCCCAGTAAAACTGCATGGTTCAAGGTTGGAGGAGAGAGGATTTCTAAAAAGGAAAAAAAAGAGAAAAAGGTTCTGTTATCATAAAATAGACGGATAGATTTTCATTACGGAAAAAATACAGATGGGAGAACTGAGTGCCAGCAAGATACTGTTCCATAAAAGGGATTCGTATTTGTTAATTAACTATATACAGTGGTCTGGGCACATGATAAATCGTGCCCTTTGATCCTCATAACAGGACTGTGAGGTAGGGATTTTTACTCTCGTTTTGATGAAATAGAAAAGTGATGTAGTTTACCCAACATAAAATGTAATACAGCCGGGTTTTGAAACTTGGTCTCTCTGGGTCCATGGCTCTTGCTTGCGATAGTAAAGATCAGCTCAAAACTCAAGACTTATTTTCCACCTGTATCCCCCATAATAACTGTTAGTTTAACAGTGGGATAGATAAGAGCCAACGTGCTGCATTTGACACTGAAGAAGAACAAGAAATGGAGAACCAATGTTAGCCAAATGCCCTGAATAAGTGAAGCTTTTGCCAGAAGCCAAGTTTACTGTTAGAGGTTGATGAACGTGGTTTGTTGGCATCTGATTCGAGTTTAGGACAAAGCAATGGAAGGCAGTTTTCGTTAGAAACCACTCAGTGATCTTCATCTATGCAAAAGACAAAGCAATCTTAGAACTGTTTCACTTAATTAAAAATACATTCAGATGTACCTTATTGATTATGTCGTTCTGACGTATAGGGGGCTGGCTGGAAACAGGGACAGCTGAATGGCGATAACATGTTTTCTGTGACAAATTCACACATGGAAAATTAAGAGTCGGCTCGACAATGAACCTGTTGTTATTCTGGAATGCCATCTTGTTTCAGTGGTATCCCTCAGGGGGCATAAGACAGCT